GGTCTGTTTCAGGAAGGTGTTCTATTCCGTTCATCAATATGTTTAATACCACACTGCTTTGATTACCATAGCTATATAGTAAGTCTTGAAATCAAGTGGTTTATTTCCTCTAGTTTCTACATTTATTTTTTCCTAGTCTATAAAAATGTTATGTTTTTCTTTTTTTTTTTTAAATCGCATTTCAGGTTTTTTACATTTTCAAAATTGTTTTGGTTCTCCTAAGATTTCATTAATTTGCTTAAAAAAGAAGCCTGGTGGAATTTTTATGGGACTTTCAGTCAATCTATAGAACAATTGGGAAGAACTGACATCTTAACAATATTGAATCTTTATAAATGATGTATCTTTTCATTTATTTAGACCTTCAGTGTTTCCTGGCTCTCAGCAGCATTTTGTAGCTTACAGGTTTTACAGATATTTTGCTTCATTAAGTATTTGGTGTGTGTGTGTGTTTTAAAACAATTGTACTTTTAATTTTTCAAGTATTGATAATATATAAAGATAGACTTGATTCTTGTTTATTCTCACTGCTGGGCTCATTAGTTATAGGAGTGTTTTTGTGTATTTTATAAGATTTTCTAATGTAACAATCTCTGAATAAAGACAGTTTGATGTTTTTTTCCAGTCTTTATAATTTTAATTTTTTTTCCTTTGGCAATGGTTAAGAACTCTAATACTGTTGATATGTGGTGAAATCAGTTGATCTTTTTTCCCTCCAGCCCATGTGTAGAAAGTTTATCAATTGTATAGATCTTTTTACAACATTGTTTTTCTATTTTCTATTTTTTACCTTTTATTACTTCTGCCTAGTTTTAGTTTAATTTTTTCTGTTCTTAGCTTTAAGATGGAAGCCCATATCATTGCTTTTAGACTTTCTTTTCAAATGTAAGTGTTTAAAGCTGTATCTCTAAGTTCTGGTTTACCTGCATTTGTAATTTAATGTTTTCATTGTCATTCAAAGTATTTTCTAATTTTCTTATTTATTTTTAACTTTGGACTATTTCGAAGTATATTAATTACCAAGTGTTTCAATACTCTCCACATTTTTGTTTTAATTTTCTATTTAACTTGGTTACAGTCCAAGAATATACCCTATATGAGTTTAATCATTTCAAATTTATTGAAACTTACAGCCTAGATTTTTGTTTTTACTTTGCATATTTTGAGGTTTTGTTAGTAGATGCCTTCACCTTTAAACTTTTATGTCTTCTTGATGAGTTATCCTCATTATAATTGTGACATGCCTTCCTTTATCCTTGATAATATTTTTTGTTCTGAAGCCTATTTAGCCTGATAGTAATGTAGACTTTCAGCTTTTTTACAATTTGTGTTTGCATAGTCGGTATCTTGTTACTCCTTTTAACCTTTTTGTCATTGTAGTAATTTGTACACAGCATATAGTTGGGTCTTGCTTTTTTTTTCTTGGAGAGAGTCTCATGCTTTTGCCCAGGCTGGAGTGCAATGGTGGGATCTCGGCTCACTGCAACCTCTGCTTCCCGGATTCAAGCGATTCTCCTGCCTCAGCCTCCCAAGTAACTGGGATTACAGGAGTCCACCCCAACACCCGGCTAATTTTTTGTATTTTTAGTAGAGACGGGGGTTTCACTATTTTGTCCAGGCTGGTCTCGAACTCCTGAGCTTGTAGTCCACCTGCCTTGGCCTCCCAGAGTGCTGGGATTACAGGCGTGAGCCACCGCACCTGGCCTCTGTCTTGCTTTTTAGTCCAGTCTGATACTCTGTACCTTTTAAGTGGAATGTTAGGTCATTGATATTTAATACAGTTATAAAATGGTTGAGTTAAACACCAGTTTTTTGTTTTTTTTTTTTTAATTTTTGAGACGGAGTTTCGCTCTTGTTACCCAGGCTGGAGTGCAATGGCGCGATCTCGGCTCATCACAACCTCCCCGTCTTGGGTTCAGGCAATTCTGCCTCAGCCTCCTGAGTAGCTGGGTTACAGGCATGCGCCACCATGCCCAGCTAATTTTTTTTTTGTATTTTTAGTAGAGACGGGGTTTCACCATGTTGACCAGGATGGTCTCGATCTCTTGACCTCATGATCCACCTGCCTCCGCCTCCCAAAGTGCTGGGATTACAGGCTTGAGCCACTGCACCTGGCTGTTTTTGTGGGTTTTTTTAATGTTTACTGTAGAATTTATAAGATATATCTGTAACTTATCGTAGTCTGCCATTAACCCTTTTCTTATAAAATGTACGGCCGGGTGTGGTGGTTCGTGCCTGTAATCCAGCACTTTGGGAGGCAGAGGCAGGCAGACCACAAGGTCAGGAGTTTGAGACTAGCCTGGCCAATATGGTGAAACCGCATCTGTAGTAAAAATACAAAAATTAACCAGGCGTGTTGATGGGCGCCTGTAGTCCCAGCTACTCGGGAGGCTGAGGCAGGAGAATTGCTTGAACCCAGGAGGCAGGAGGTTGCAGTGAGCCCATATCACACCACTGCACTGCAGGCTTGGCAATAGAGCAAAACTCCGTCTTGGGGGAAAAAAGAAAAGGTGCAACTCTCTGCCAGCACCCATTTAATTTTACATAAACATGCTCTTTGAGGCTGAAGCAAATCTGATTTCCAATGTGAAAATGAAATGTAAAAACTGTTCTTGAAGTTATTTCTAAATAGAACTAATATCAGAATTGTCTGAATTATCAGTCATCTATTTCAGAAAAATTGGATTCATCATATTTTCAGCCAGTTTTCAATTGTTCAAGAACAATGCTAACATCGTTCATAAGACTGCTATGTATTCTAGGATTTGACATTTTCAGTGATTGAAAATTACTATATTTTGTAAATGGAAATACCACTGCTAAAAACAGAATGCTATAAATAGAATGATGTCTTTTGTTTCCAGAATCAATGTACTAGAGCAGTGCAACACTAATTATAAAGGTGAGATATTTCGTGGCAAAGTTATCTCAGGGTAAACTCTAGCTGGAAGTACTGCCAGCAAGTAATCTTGGGGCAAATGGAAAAAGGGTTAAATGGAATTAAATGGTTTCACATAAAATGTAAGAAACGAGAGTGTACTGTCATCTCTCCTCTTGTCTTTACAATCACAGTACATCAGTATTTTGCTTTAAAACAGTCGGTTGTCTTCCGGGTGCGGTGCTCATGCCTGTAATCCCAGCACTTTGGGAGGCTGAGGTGGGTGGATCACTTGAGGTCAGGAGTTTGAGATCACCCCGGCCAACAAGGTGAAACCCTGTCTCTACTAAAAATACAAACATTAGCCAGACATAGTGGTACATGCCTATAATCCCCTACTGGGGAGGCTGAGGCAGAAGAATTGCTTTAACCCAGGAGGCAGAGGTTGCAGTGAGCCAGGATCCCGCCGTTGTACTCCAGCCTGGATGACGCTATTGCACTCCAGCCTGGGTGAAGAAGCGAGACTCCATCTCAAAAAAAAAAAACCCAGTCATTATCAACCAGGCACAATTTCTCATGCCTATAATCCCAGCAATTTGTGAGGCTGAGGTGGGAGGATCACTTGAGCTCAGGAGTTTTGAGACCAGCCTGGGCAATACAGCAAGACCTTGTCTCTCAAAAAAAATTTTTTTAATGAGTTAAAACTGAGAAGATAATTTTTTCTATTATCTTGCCAACATTTGTTCCATATTTACTTTCTGCTGGGTATTCTAAGTGCTTTGCATGATTTAATACATTTAATTTTGTGAGCAAACACATGTTGTAGATAACTACTATGTATTTTAAGCAAAGTGAAAGACAAGTAATTAACCTACATTTAGTAAACTAACCAGAATATGAACCCAGCCAGTCTGGTACCAAAGCCTGAGTGTTTAACCACTTTGCTATACTGCCTTCTTAAATTGGCTATGACCTCCAGTATAATTTCAAGAAGGTATAAAAGTAAGCTTTTTTTTTTAAAGAGACAGTCTCCCCACTTCACCTAGGCTAGAGGGCAGTGGTATGATGGTAGCTCATTGCAGCCGCAAATTTTGGGGCTCAAGGGATCCTCCCACTTCATCCTCCTGAGTAGCAGGGACTACAGGCATATACCACCACACCTGGCTAATTTTAAAACATATATGTGGAGTCTTACTGTGTTGCCCAGGTTGGTCTCAAACTCCTGACCTCAAATGATCCTCCTTCCTTGGCCTCCCAGAGGGATTATAGGTGTAAGCCCCTATGCTGGACTGAACTGGCATACTTGACCTTGACTCTAAGATGCTTTCAAAATATAATTGTTTGCTACAGGTTTTTGCTAGCTACCCTTTATTAGATTAAGACTGTTTTCTTCCTAGTTTGAGTTTTGTCATGGTTTAGTATTGAATTTTGTGAAGTCCTTTTACTGTGTTGAAGTAATCATATCATGTTCCCCTTTGTTCTGTTAGTGTGATCTGTTCCATGACTAGATTTTCTGATGTTGAGCCATCTTTGCATTTTCAGAATAAACCTTAGCCAATTGTCATTTATATTATTTTTTATTTTCCATTTGTCAGCTGTGATGTTAAGATAGGTTCACCCAGTAGTTCAGGAAATTAAAATTATGAAGATGAGAGAGATTGATGAATAGTACTGATTTTAATTTCAAATAAGTGAATGGCTTATTAGCTGGGTTAAAATGAAGATGGGTTGTGTAAGATACATCATTATTTTTACTTGAGAGGTCTTCTTACAGCACCTAATTATTTTTACATAGATAACAGAATCACATTTCATAATTCATTTGTACAAAAGAGTGTATACAGTGATACCCCTCTTCCATTCCTGTCTTGACACCTCCAGAAACCAATGTTACCAGTTTTTTTGTTCTGGAGATTTTGCATAGTAAGCAAAGATAATTGTTTTATTTACTCCTCTTTTAGGAAAAAAAAAAAATGTAAATTGCAGTATACATGCCATTCTGCATCCTACAATTTTTCTTGATCTTGAGGAATGTATGAGACAAGGTTCAGTCAGAAGTGGAGTCACTACGTGTGTGACATAAATGGCATTTATCAATGAATTGGCTTTTACTCAATTGTAGGAGTTGCTGAAGAAATGAAGGTCCAGAAGGGAGTGATGGAGAATGAGAGGAGTGGCTAACCAGGCTTTCTGAAAGATTGGTGTGGTGGACAAGTCAGAGCTGGTTACGGAAACCTGGAAAACAGGCACATCCAGCTGCTGAGGTGAGATTGCAGAAAGGATAATAAGGTAAACTCGTGCCTCTGTGTAGTTAACTGGATTTGATAGCCTGGGACTGCTGATAGTCCAATGGAGTATCAGCAGGAAGATACCACAAGAGCAGGATGTGAAATGGAAGAGACTGGGGACAGCCTAAAGCCTTCCACATACCTTTGTGACTGTTCGTCATTATATGAATCCTGAAATCTTTGTTGAGTCATGGCTACTATTTCGGTTCTACCTGCTAACATCTTGTGCAAATTCCTCTTGGCCAAATCTTATTCAGAGCCATACAAGGAAAGGGATTCTGGAAAACAGTTCCAAGCTTAACCTTATTAACTCAGCACAGTTCAGCACCAAGAACACTCTATAGTGATGTGTAAAGGCAGCTTTATCCCCTTGCCCTTTTTTTATTGTGGTAAAATATACGTAACATAAAACTTAACCATCTTAGCCGTTTTTAAGTGTACAATTCAATGGTTTAAATACATTCATCATATTGTGCAACTATTACCATCCATCTCCAGAATTCTTTTTGTCTTGTAAAACAAATTATGTGCCCATTAACAATGATTCCTCGTTATAAATGGGATTGTGCAGCATTTTTCTTTTTGTGACTTGAGTATTTCACTTGTCCTCAACAGTCATCCATTTTGTAGTGTTTTGCAGAATATCTTTCTAAGGTTGAGCACGATTTCGTTGTATGAATATACCACATTTTGCTAATCCATTCACGTGTGGATGGACACTTAGCCTGCTTCCACATATCACCTGTTAATAATGCTACTGTAAACATGGGTGGACAGATACCTCTCTCAGACCCTGATTTCGATTTTGGGGTCTGTATCTGGAAGGAGAATTGCTGGATCATAAGGTAATTCTGTTTCTAAATTGGAGGAATTGCCATACTGTTTTTTCCCCAGTGGCTGTTAGAATTTTACATTCCCATCAGCCTGGTGGTGGGGGTATGGATTACTCCGCATCCTTGCCAGCACTTATTTCTGGTTTTTTGATAGTAGCCATCCTAATGGTTGTGAGGTAGCATCTCCCATAGTTTTAATTTGCATTTCTGAAATGATTAGTGAGGTTGAGCATCTTTTCATGTGCTTTTTGGCTGTTTGCGTATCTTTGGAGAAATGTGCATTCAAGATCTTTGCCCATTTTTAATCAAGTTTTTTGTTTTAATTGTTGAGTTCTTTATTCTGGATGTTGTTCTTATCAGATATGTTATTTGTAAATATTTTCTCCCATTCTATTGTATTTTTACTCTGTTGTGATTTTTAAAAGGTCATGAAATCCAGTGTGTTTCTTTTTTTGTTGCTGGTGCCTTTGTTGTCATACGCTAGAAATTATTGCCAAGTCCAGTGTGATCATACATGTAGGCATTTATCTATTTCAGGTTTTGTTTGTTTGGTGACATTTCTAATCATTTCTTAATTTATTGGCTGGAATATTTCTACAAAGAGAAGCTGGTTGTTTACTTGTGCATTTTATGTGAGAAAGGCAGAATAAACCCTTGATTTTTGTCTCATTACTTACCAGTTTTCAAAATGAAAATGTTTCCTGTTGATACTCAAAAGGTGATCAATTACTATTTCTTAATGGATTTGATACCAAATTTGAAGTACTGATGTCTATTTCACTTATTGCTCAGAATGTTCCATCTTTGGCCAGTTGAATCCCTTCATTGTCTCTTGAATCCTGTTGATGTGTTCCCAGTAAGTAGTCTTTGACAGCTTCATGGGCATAACAAGATTTAGTGCAAAAGCTTATCTCATATATTTTCTGCTGTTCCAGACTGGAATCAGCCATTTTACCAAGAAACTTGTGTTTCTTTTACTGGCAAATGGTACTTCAAGTGTACAGTCTTATGTAAGGGATGTCATGGCTTCTGGGTTTGTTACAGTTCTCATCCACAAAATTCTAGGAATGTCCAGCTTCATTATTTTCCATAATTTAAAGGAGCAGAACTTTTGTTGCTAAATTATTTGTTGCTTTGAGATAAACTAACTTAAAATCATAGAATTTTTATTTTTTTGAGACAGAGTTTTGCTCTTGTTACCCAGGCTGGAGTGCAATGGCGCGATCTCGGCTCATCGCAACCTCCGCCTCCTGGGCTCAGGCAATTCTCCTGCCTCAGCCTCCTGAGTAGCTGGGATTACAGGCACGTGCCACCATGCCCAGCTAATTTTTTATATTTTTAGTAGAGACGGGGTTTCACTATGTTGACCGGGATGGTCTCGATCTCTTGACCTCGTGATCCACCCGCCTCGGCCTCCCAAAGTGCTGGGATTACAGGCTTGAGCCACCGCGCCCGGCAATCATAGGATTTTTAAAGCTGTAAAGGGTATAGGAAATATCCGCCTCAGGTTTTCCTAACTTGGAAGAGCAGTGCCACTTAGAATAATAGCCTGAGGAATCTTAGCCAGCTGGAGTGAAGGCAGGGAGATCAGTGATTATGTTTTACATGCATGCATTTATGATGTCATTCTTTCATCCAGGCAGCATTTTTTAGGCCATTTTCCTAGCTAGGGTGAAAAAAAATTGTACACTTAAATACACAGATAATTTGTAAGTATATAGAATACATAAATATGACAGGAGCACTTAATGTATTATGTGAATACAGTTGACCCTTGAGCAACATGGATTTGAACTGTGCAGATCCACTTATACATGGATTTTTTTCAATAAATATATTAGGAAAATTTTTGGAGATTCACAATGATTTTTGAAAACTTGGAGACAAACTGCGTAGCCTAGAAATACTGAAAAAAAGAAAAAATTTAGTATGTTAAAAATGCATAAAATGTGGATGTTAGTCCATTGTATTATTACTGCCATAAGATATACACACATCTATCATGAAAAGCTAACATTTATTAAAACTTATACACACGAACACAGATCATACATGATGCCATTTACAGTTGAGAGAAATGTAAAAAAGAGGCAGTATTAAGTCATAACTGCCTAAAATTAGCTTGTAGTACACACTGCTACTGTAACAATTTTGTAGCTACCTCTTATCACTATTGGGGTGAGCTCAAGTGTTGTGAGTATCTGTTTAAAAATGTGATGCTTATCATCTCTGTGTGAGCAGTTTGTCTTCCAGTAAATTGCATATCAGTAAAAAGGTATCTCTCACGGTTCTGAAGTATTTTTTTTTTATCGTGTTTACTGTGATGCTATAAACAAGGAGTAACACAATGGAACCCATGCAGAGAATCGCTAGTGGTCTGGAAGGGCTCCCAAGAAGCAGGAAAAAGTCATGAGGTTATGAGAGGGTGAATTGCCTGATGTGTACCATAGATTGAGATCTGCAACTGTAGTTGCCCACAGTTTCAGACATACACTTCATTTTGTGAACAGGTGACATAGACATGGTATCAATAAATACATTATTAATATTTTCTGTACCTAACTTTTTTGTAAAAACACAGTATGTGATATATGTGTAAAGTATGTTAATTATTATCAGGGTTCTGGTCAGCAGTAGGCTGTTAATAGTTACGTTTGCAGCGAGTCAAAAGTAATATTAACAAATGGATTTTCAACCGCACAGGGCCTGGCACCCCTATTCCCAGAGTTGTCTAAGAGTCAGCTAGAAAATTTATATATCATCTAAATATGTGACAACATATTTTGTTATAGGCATTATGTGTATATAGGCTAAGCATACAAATTATAAAGTACATAAAATAGCCTTTTTAAAGATAAAGTACATTATGACTTTATACGGATTTCTAACTCAAATCTAAGACCACATAATGTTTACTCAACCTATTTTATATCCTCACCTTCTTTTCCCCAGCATGGAGAATTCTAGTCCCTGCTAAAGAACCACAATCTTGGATTTCTTCATTCCCCATCCTCCTTACAGTTCTCTTCCACAAAATTCTATGAATGTTCAGCTTCATTATTTTCTGTAATTTAAACGACCAGAATTTTTGTTGCTAAATTATTTCTTTGTGTGCTATGAGACATTCTGACTTAAAATCACAGAATTTTTAAAGCTGTAAAGGGTGTAGGAAATATCCACTTTGGATTTTCCCAACTTGGAAGAGCAGTGCCACTTAGCCTGAGGAATCTTAGCAAGCTAGAGTGAAGATAGGGAGATCAGCTGTAGTGCTTTACATCCATGCTCATTCAGGGAACGTTTATTGAGGCCCTCGTGTATTCTAGGCGTCGATGACACTTCCATCCACGAAGGATGCAGATCAGTCAGTATTTGTTGAAGGAAATTTTTATTTTTGAAATGGATGTTGAATTTTCTGCATTTCATGTTTCATGGTAGAATGTGGCTTAAGAAGACAACCAGAAGTATTCTGAGATTCAGGTAGCACTTTGCAAAGAGGGACAAATGATGATTTGAGAACAGAAGCTTGAGATGGTTTTTTAGTTTTATTTTTCCTGGAGGACCATGCTGGGATGAATAACCTCCATAATCCTGTATCTGTATGGTTGATGCTGGTTCTGTGGCTAGATCTGGGTGAGGCTCAGCTGGACTGGACTCAAAGACCATGCCGTTTTTGTTGTATGTACACATATTTTAAAGACTGGTGATCATTCCCATCTATGCATCTGTACCAGCTCCACCTCTGGACTATGTGTTAATACCCACATGTTACACAGTACTGGGGAGAATATTGGCCTTGGAGCCAGGAAAGCTGGCTGCACCATTTATAGTATTTAAGACCTATCTTTGATACAGTAATATATACTTTAAAGGGTTTTATGAGATTAAATTATTTAAAGCATATTCCCAGCACTTTGGGAGGCCAAGGCGGGCAGTTCACTTGAGGCCAGGAGTTTGAAATCAGCCTAGTCCACCTGGTGAAACCCCATCTCTACCAAAAAAATGCAAAAAAATATTAGCCAGGCATGATACACACCTGTAGTCCCAGCTACTTAGGAGCCAGAGGCATGAGAAATTGCTTGAACCTGGGATGCAGAGGTTGCAATGAGCTGAGTTCGCACCACTGCACTCCAGTCTGGGTGACAG